GTAATGGGTACGTTAGTAAATTACATAAGCATGTTACTTTTAGTGCTTTACCGCCAGTACTGGTTTGAACACAGGTACTCATGCTCCGAAGGTTTATGTCATCCATTCCTGCGAAGTATGAACATATGCGACCTACATGAATGCGGCGCATTCGCTGTGCATAGCAATTAAATATGTATCAAGGATAACACTCTCTTTGAAGGCTGTGTTGAGTTTTGTAAAAGTGCAATAAGAGCCCTCTGCAGGACAAGATGTAAACCTGACAGGCAGAATTGTACACAAAAAGAGAGTTGAAGCTTTGTGAAACTTTCGCAGTTAGGTAGAGAGGTGGGCGAGTCTTGTGTCCTCCTCAAGCCCTGTGTCCCATGGCACACACACGGATGCCAGAGAGGTGAAAGATGCTATGCTTATGCTGCCCGAAAATGGCGTTCCAGGGATGGCCATTACATGCAATAATACGCAGTGCTTACGCAAAACCTAAACAACTGCCAAAGGACATTGTCCATGAATTTCTCTAACTTTGCAGCACAAGGTACATGTGAGTGCACCATATATAAACGGTGCCTGATGAAGATGGCAGTGGCTGCTAGAAGCACATAATTACATTGCTTAATGTTCTAATGCCTGACAACTGAGTCTTGAGCTTACACAAAAGCTAAGGGGAGGAAAACATTAATAACATTTAGTAAACATGACATCTGATGAACTATGGTTAGTAATGCAGGGATTGTTTTGTGGCTTCACTTCAAACAGGATGTCAATAGGGGTGTCAGGGGTTCTGCTTTGGTAATCTCTGTTTTGCTATAATTCAAGCATTAGTTCCTTGAGCAGTAAATAGTGCTGTTTCTTTACACATAACTCATTATTTTAGCACTAGACTTTACTTGCTCTTAAGGACACCTGACACCATAATTGGGAAACATCAAGATGTTTGTCTTGTTTGGTTGTCCTGCATACGTTGGAACTTACCAATAATTAGTGGCCGATGTTACCTTTGAGTTATTTTAGTTTGGTTTTAAAGTAAGCGTGAGTGCTCAACTGAGTTGACCGCACCTCGCAACATTGCCACTGGCACGGCGTAGATCAAGACCCCTTGTGACATTCCACAAGTAAAGCGAGTATTGTCGATGTCACCAAGATATGCTGGGGCCCACAGCTGGCACCCAGCAAGGGCCATTGTTCTTTGCCCACCTCGTTCTGTTGTTAGGCTGCTGTCGAGGCGAAGTGGTTGTGGCTACAAGGCCAAACATGCTTCTTATTTTTCTAGAGGAGACTTGCGCTTAACAGCTTTAAAGGAATTGAACGAAAATTGGAAAAACTGATGAAAACATCGTAACTCTAGTCAAAGACACCACTGTTTCGATAAACAAGGTTTATTTCATATATTCTTGAACAGTTGACTGTATTTTTAAGATTGTCAGCACAAGGCCAGTTGCATGCGAGCAGTGACGTCACATTCTCCCAGGCGCATGCCAGGGACCACTTGATGCTCTTCTTCCTTTTCTTCGCCTCTGCCGTCATTCCGCTCTCCCCCTTGCACAAAAGCGCTGACCCCGGCCGAAAGCATTGTTCGCTGCCATGGTGGCTCTGGGAACTGTAGTGCAAGCTGAGCGGGTTGGTAGGCGTGGGCGACGGCTGGCATTATTGGGATGCTTGTTTCCAGCGAGTGCAACCTCACTTCTTTGGCTCAGTGGGTGTCAGCAATGGATGTTTCGGGGACCCCTTGTGGACTGTTAGAAGTGATGGGGGAACCCTCTCAGCAAAGGGGAGGAAGGGGGGCGTATGTAGGCAAATAACACAACTGGAGTGTGGAACAGGTGCTTTTTATTGCTACGAAAAACATCAAACAAACACGCCACATCACTTCATTTTGGCCAGTTCATCAATACTTGGCACAGTCACACTTTAAGAAAAATGTGGGTGAGGGTTTTGCGGATCATAGAAATGGCTTCGCGGACCCTTATTTGAGAACCACTGCTTTAGTTTATGGTGCGACCGTTAGACGCAAAGATTTGTGAAAAACTCATTATTTTTCGCTATTTTATGCCTGAAATGAAGGACGTGTCCACGGATTCCAGCTCCAAATCTTTCAATTTGGCTGAAAATCTTTGTGGCAAGTGTTTTGTTCTGTATTCCTTTAAAATACTGATAAATATGTGAAGTTTCACGTCCCAGAAACACCATATGTATATGAGAGATGCTGTAGTGGAGGGCTCCGGAAATTCAGACCACCTGGTGTTCTTTAACATGCACACAAGTCTGAGCATACAGGCCAACAGCATTTTCGCTTACATTGAAAATGCTGCCGTTGCAGCTGGGATTCGATCCTGCGACATGTGGGTCAGCAGCTGAGTACTTTAGCCACTAGAAAAGCTCGGCGAGGCTCGCTTTAAAATACTGAAGCACCCATACTGTTCCATTCTTCAACACACATGGGGCCCTGATTTGAAAACTATACTGACAGCAAAGCTTGAGTGCACTATGTCTTAGGTACTCCCCTGTTGGGGAGCACTAAATCTTTATAGTTTTTAGTTGGGCATTTCTAAGTGATGCAAAATTGGTTACAATTAACAATGCTGGCATTAATTATGCAATAAATTAGAGCATTCGGCATACAGTTTCACTTGACACAATGCTATAAAGTTCAGTAAAAAAGTGACAAACAAAATCTTCACTTCTCAGGGCTCTTTAAGGATATACTGAATTCTTTCTGCATCACTTTTGTAAGTGCATACTGAGGAGTTTGTCTCTTGCACAAGAAGCATAAAACATATAATTGTCAACCTGTTGTTAAAGTCTACTTTGCAATTTATTCCACAGGTGAAGCTTTTGCGCTCCAAGTTTAAGGAATTGGACATAGAAGTGGACGGTGGAGTGGGGCCAAACACAATTCACCAATGCGCTGAGGTATGCATGCGTTGTGGCTATTATTAGATTTTTCATCGCTGTCAGCACATGTTCATCATGTCATGCCATTGTTTTTCATCATTGCTTGTGGGTACTTGTGTTATCTGTGACGTATGCATAGAGTGCAGTTAGGCTGCCACGTCTTCGCATCTAATAGTTGTTTCATGACACATTGTTGAAGAAACGTTGAAGAGAGACAGGATTTTTCTCATCAGAGAAAATTACTCTTATACAATTCTATCATCACTATAGTACTTACCTTGAGAAGACGATTGATTAGCCGAGAAAGTGCGCAAAAAAAAACATGTTGCGCCACCTACATTTTCTTTTTGCGTGTCTACAGCATCTACTAATTTCTATATAGTTTTTTATCAGTAAAAATGAACTACATGGTCCTATGAGGGGGACATATATTGAACATACTAAGTTTCAGTAAATTTAGCTGAGCTGTCACCAAAATACAAAAAATACAATTTATATCTGTCTTCATGTGCAGAGGTTTTGGCACACAATTTAAAATTAAACTTTTACCTTGATTTTCTTCTCTACTAATGGAGATGTAATGATGAAATTAATGGCATCATAGTTCTCAGAGTACAATTTTTTAATCTAGACTAACTCATTGTTTCACTTTGGTGTCCCTCTAAGGGAGTGGGGTATGCTGGGTCCCCGAAATGGCTTTCATGTATATGAATTTGTGAGGTACTTGACCTGTTTTAATTATTTTTCATCCTGTTTCAGGCTGGTGCCAACATGATTGTATCGGGAACAGCCATCACAAAGAGCAACGACCCCAAGGACGTGATAAGAACTCTTAGGCAATCCGTAGATAGCGTAATTAAAGTGAAATCTGCACATTGACCGTGCAGTGTGTAGTGATGAAGATGAATTGTTTGGTACTTATATTTACAGTGATGTTAATAAAGGTTCTCTATTTTTATTCACTGTTATGTTCTGTTTTGTAAATGTATGAGTATTTAATGTGAAGGGGGACATCAGTGAAGGAGACATTATCAGCGTTTTCATTGTCCCAATTATTGATTGCGGTGGGCAGTGTCTTACTGCCATTGCACGGTACAATATACATGCTGCACATTGCGGAAATAGTGGCATAACTGTATTTTAATGTAAACGTGCCGATAAAGGTGGTAATCTAGCATATTTGTACAAGTTGCTTCACCATGAAAAGTGAGGTGATGTGAAATTTAAACTAGGCACGAAGGTCGGTTTGAGGTGGTTTAACAGCATTTGAGCTAGGAATTTCACTAAAATAAATGTAACTGTGGACCAGAGGAGTGCTATTTTTCAGGACAAGAATCCAAGCTGTCCTTGTACGGAGAAGTAAAATACTTCCTTTGTCCACTGTTATTCAAATGTAGTGTTTAAATTGAACAACACTCTACTTTAAATATACCATGAACCAATGCACTCGCCATTACACTTATATTTTTGTTTGACCGAAGTTACGAGTAGAGTTCGTGGTTTTTTGAACATTGTGAACTGCTGGCCCAGCTAAAGGACAAGCATTCGTCTGTGTGTATTCGTACACGTGCCTCTGGTTCATTGTTCAGAAGGGCAGAAAATAAGTTTAGAGACGACGCGATAACGGCAAAATGTCTGTGTCGCTAGACGTGAGCACGCTGTGACGTAATCGTGGCAAGGCCCATCAACGGCCCCTTCCTCTAACCGCTCGATGAGCAATCAGACTCCAGCAGACGAGCACTTCCGCGCCGGAAATGACGTCACAATTCGCTTGCGGTAAGCGACCTGTGGGAGCGCCATTTTAGTTTGTCGGCTGCCTCTGCATCATGGTAAGAGTTCTACGTCCGTTATTTTTGTGCCGTGAATTCGTCAGCCAATGTTCTCCCACTAAAGTGACTCCTAATGTTTTTACAGGCCGGGTACACGGACGATCAAATTAGCGGTAAGTCAACGTAAAACTGTGAAGCAAAGAGTAGCACCAAGAACTCGAAACGGGAATGCCGATCTGTTGACACACCCAGTTTGTCATGCAAGCTGCGGTGTTATCCCTCCCGCGGTCTGCGGCTTTGTGTTGTAGTTTGTGCCATAATAGGAAGAGCGGGCAGAGCCTTGCGAAGCAACAGTCGAGCGAGTATAGTGCTGCAGCGATTGAGAGACGCCTTGTAGCCTCGCGCTTTCAGTGGCAGGGGAATTCGCGATGCGTTTGTTTCGCAAGTACTTCAACTTCACTGAAATCGGTGCGTTACCTCACGTTTGTTTCACAGCTTGAGATGAACCCTTGTCTTACGAACGTAGCCGACAACTTCCAGTTCTCCAATGATAAAACTTGCGAGGTTCTAATGTCGCCGTTCCGGGCGGATGTCAAACAGCGGATACTGGCGGTTCGGGAAGTTGCTTTTGTACCGTTAGCTGCTCCGTAATGTCCTATGTGCTTGCTAACGCTACTGCTGTGGGCTACTCCAGTCTTTGAACCGGGTGTTTTAGCTCTTTCTGGTGGTCTCTTTTTGTTTCCTCGCGAAGACTACCAGGAGGCCTTCTCCCTGTTCGACAATCGAGGCGATGGCAAGATCAACATCTCCCAGCTCGGCGACGTGCTTCGCGCCCTTGGCCAGAATCCCACCGAGGCTGACGTGAAGAAGTGCTGCCATCAACTGAGACCTGGTAGGTCGCTAGCTGTGCTCCGCAAAATGAGCAGCCTCGTAGCTGCCATGATGTGAGAAATGTAGCGCCGTATAAACTGCCCCCTTAATTACGAAGCTGACAGGGGTGTAAATGCTTGGCGGCGAGGCGTTATTGCATTCAAATTGTTCCTGACACGTATCACATTTCATTATTTCAGAATGGGCTGTGCTATCCCGAGTAATCTGTTGACAAGATCAAGCTTAACGACCCAGAAACGCGAACTGAAGAGTGTAACCAAGGTACATTCGAAATGCCAGGCCATGCTTAATTAATAAACTTTAGCAGCGGTGTGTATTGTAGTGATTTCCATAATGCCATTGCATAAAAGAAGCAAGTAAGCCATCGATGGGTGTGGCAGATGACAAAAGCATAGAGTATCACATAGTGGCTTAGGGATCATTCACTGAGTATGTGAAATATGCTGCCGAATTCAATTATGCACATGTGTTAATTACATACACTAGTGTTCGTTGCGTGGCTGTCAGTATTCAGTCGGCAGTCCAGTAGACCCTGTTTATTCTCACCAGGAATCTGTAAGTATGAATGAGCAATTATGAATGAAGTGGTAATCGTTGACGAGTGCTAACCGAGAAATTAGTTTGAATTTGCACTCGTGGTGGGCACTATATACCTTGAGAGCAAGCAGAGTGTTGGGGGAAAGTTAAATATAAAACCGACCCACAGTAGACAACAGAACACAGACTGAGGTGGCAAATGTGTGGTAGTACAGTCACTTGAAGGCACACTAAAGGCAAATATTAAGTTGATGTTCATTGCTGGAATCACAGTCCAGAAACCTGGCGGTGCTACTTTTGTTGCCAAGGAAGTGCTTATTTTGAAATAAAGTAACATTCTAGTGGTTTGCATCGTGTTAGTGTACTTCGAATCCCTCGCCCAAAAGTGGCCGTCTCACCTCACGTACACATCGTTGCCCGGCTTCACTGTGCAGCCGCCGACACTATTAGCAGCAGAGTAAAAGTATCAGGCGCCACAGCAGCAACAATGACCATTGAACAATTTTTAGCCATAGCCTCAGAAATCGTAGGCGTGCTTGGTTCAACTGGGCCCCGCTAAATAGCACGACCTGTCCAGTTTAACCAGGTGAATATTGAACTTTTGAACTACACGTGCCATTTCCAATGGTAACGTCCGGTGATGAAACAGAAACAAACAAGCAGTATTTCGCTACGTCTCTTGATGCACCGAACATTCTTTATTTAGTGCAGCTAGTTTGATTACTAGTGATTAATTGTAGGCAGTAAGTCTGACGTCATCGAGACCATTTTGCAAATGTCCTGCTCGTGGCACATGTGTTCTCATGCATTTACCTTAATTTCTCGGTAAGTAGGGTACTGCTGTTGATAATATTGGCGTTTTAGACGTCGTACATTGAGCTTTCACTCTGACATAAATTGTTATTTGACTTTACTGTCCCTTTAACGCTTTATATTGAGGTCATCGTATTTGTGGCAGTTGCTCACTAACTAAAATGCATTTTGGGTTGGTTTTGAGATGATGTGATGCTAAAAGAACATGCATGAGCAGCACAGAAATATGAAATGGGGAAACAAATGCATCTGTGCCAAGTTTTCCTCATCTGCATCTTGTGTCACTGTGCCAATTATTGCTCCACATGATAGTGTCAGGTGGTCATGTACCCCAGGTTTTTATGTTCCAGTGTGTACATTTCCATTGTGAGTTTATGCTTTTTCCCTTTCATTGCATAGTGTCCATCTGACTGCTGACACTTTTCTCTACCTTACGTCGCAGACGAGCAGTACAGTCGTACTGAAATTATGACAGATGTCGTCGTCATATGTTCCAGTTTGTTAAAAAATGATTCTGGGATTAGTTTTATGATTGGGCAACTGCATTGCCAGTCACATGCCAATTCAAATATAATGGGTAAAGATGTGATGCACTTCCATTTCCAGTGTGTATATTTCCATTGTGAGTTTATGCTTTTTCCCTTTCATTGCATAGTAAGGGCATTGTGTCCATCTGACTGCTGACACTTTTCTCTACCTTACGTCGCAGACGAGCGGATCAGTTTCGACGTGTTCTTGCCGATCCTGCAGACAATCAGCAAGAACCGCAGCACAGACACGGCCGAGGACTTCATTGAGGGCCTGCGCCACTTTGACAAGGACGGCAATGGCTACATCAGCTCAGCCGAGCTGAGGCACCTTCTGACCACCTTGGGTGAGGCTTAACACAGGGCCATGTTGCTTGTAAAGGCCACAATACTCGTAACATGAATTTATAGAGTGTGGCATGGACATGGCTCATTTCATTTCTTGCACTAGGTGAGTTGTGAGCATAAAGAAGGGCATTTGGATCCGTTGGCTTGCGTGATAAATTCAGTTGAAAGTTTGCCGCTGGGTGTGCCTGCTTCTCCGTTTATGTTCTCTGACTGCACAGTCGTACTGAAATTATGACAGATGTCGTCGTCATATGTTCCAGTTTGTTAAAAAATGATTCTGGGATTAGTTTTATGCTTGGGCAACTGCATTGCCAGTCACATACCAATTCAAATATAATGGGCATAGATGTGATGCACTTCCATTTCCAGTGTGTACATTTTGTGCCATATCAGCATAATTTTGACTTGAACACTTACACGAGAACCAACATTACCGTTTGCAGCCAGATTTTCGTTGACACAATGCAATTATCATGAGTAATAGTAGCCTGGAACAGTTGCTATGATAAAAACGAGAATCTTTCTAATCCATGAGTAATGTACTTGTGAATTGTAGCAGTCCTTGAATCGGAGAAGGGGTGGTAATGGCACATAACGGCTGGAATCTTTTTCGAACAAATTAGGTCTATGTTGTAAAGACTAACGATTCGGTTGTTGGACATCATCTTTACTGATTAAAAACACTAGTCTCCTCAAATCCATTGCTCCTAAATTCCTGCTGTCCTTTCTATTCCTAATCTATTGTTGACATAAAAAGCCACATTCACTCTCAAGACAAACCACTGATCAGAATAGCATTATATCAGGCGTAAAGTTTGTAGTTATGTTGGCCATAAATTGTTTAAACACAGCCTTGCTAGTTAAATCAAAAAGCATGGTGGGGAGCACAGGCAAATTCATGGTGATCTCCTTTAAGGACTGCAAATACTTACTGTCACATGTTGGTGTGTTGAGAGAGGCAAATGAACGTGTAACATTGCCTTTCAATTCATCTGAAACTTTTGAGAAAACATCAGCCATTTTGCATTGCCCAGACCTCATCTCTTTCTCGAGATTTTCTTATTAGTTTTCTATCTTTATTGTGCTTGATAAACAAATTAGGCCAGTATTCGTGAACCAGTCTTGCCTTATCTTTCACCCGGTTACCATTTTCGCACCTTTATAGCACATGTAGATACTACAGGAAGTTGAGGAAAACAGTGAAGTAAGGCTGAGGTTGGTTTGTGAATACGGGCCTTAGAATCTATTTTGTACTAAAACTTCGAACTTCCAGGAAATTACGCAGAGATCAAGTGCAGCCTCCAAGGTTGGGTGGCTAGCTAGAGTGGGGAATGGACACTTATGTAGGATATGTTGTGTAATGAGTGGACAGTTGCGGGAAAAAAATATGTCCCTTGCATGCTTTTTTGCTGACCCAGGTGAAAAGCTGACTGACGATGAAGTGGAGCAACTTCTTGCCGGCCAAGAGGACTCCCAAGGAAATGTCCACTATGAAGGTACACTGCGTGGATGTATTTATTGCTGCACTTAGGGTTCGCTTCTGATATTTGTCTGTTCCCTTCAATGTAGACACTCCTGCATCCTCTAGTATGAATGGCCATTCTTGATAAGAAAGGGCAATTGTGTGCATGTTGGACCAATGAATAACCATTTACTACAGATGCTGACCATAACTCGTTCCATCGAGGACATTGTGGGGTTACTATTGTCCCCTGTGAAGTCGTTTGCACCTCGTGATGCACATGTGTGTCGCGGATAGGTTGCATTTTCAATTCCTTTATTTACTAGACAAAACTGGAAGGTCGCCAAGGGTAAAAGTCGTGAGAATAGCTAGACAAAGGCCCTGGTGAACTGTGCATAAACATGGAGGTAGTGCGGAAATCATTACAAGTATGTGACATGCAAGTACAGTGGGCTCCTCTTAAACTGGAACTCGAAGTGGCAAAAAAATTTGTTCATTATAAGAAGTCTCATTTAAGCAAAGCCCAAAAAATGAATGAAATATGACTTTATTTCAAAAGCACCAACTGTGGCTGACAGAACAAAAACATTTTGAAGTATACAATACTACTATACTCGATTAGAAAGAAAAATGTTGCTAATATTGCTTTCAGATATCTCTGTTTACAGCCTGCACTTTCTCCAGAAACTATATTAAAGACCACACCATGCCGCTTTTTGAAACGACTCAGACAGCCATCGCTCACCCGCAAGTGCTTAATCCCCATGCGAGTAAAATACTCTTTGACCTTCTCTTCGAAAATGGGGCTGCTGACCAGGAAGTTTGCACTGTGCGTTCACTTGAACCAGAGAAAAGGAGCATCTTCAATTTTTTCGTAAGCCGCCGTTCTCATCCGCATTCTGCCCGTGGCAAAGTTCCCAAGCTTTGCAGCTTCTTCAATCTTGCCTTTGTTCTTGAGTATCCTTCACAGTGTGGACTTCGGAATATTGAACTTCTTCACAATTTCTGTCTTTGATAGGTCGTGGCGGTCAAGTTCTTGAATGCGTTGCCAGCAAAAGTGCATTGTGCTGCCGTTTTTTGTTTCCATCTCAAGTTCACGACGAGATGGAAACAAAAAGCTGGAAACAAATAGACCGTTTGCTGCTCAGTGTGCGCGGACGTGTGCAATCGCTGGATTGGCTTAGCTACGCTAGCTTCGGCATTTGTTTCATGGTTGCTAGACTGCCGTGGCCACTTCCGCCACTCATAGATTTTGCCCGTTTGTTTCATTTAACGGATGTAAGCAAAAAAAAAAAGATTTCCGATTACCCGAAACTTTTTATCATTAAATATATAGGAGACCAATCAAATGTGCCTAGACAGTTTCGTTTATGCGGCTTTTTCCCTTTAAGCAAGTTTCGTTTAATGGTAGTCCACTGTACAATATAAGACATCAACAATACGTACTAATAAAAAATGATTTCCCAACTGATTATTTTACAACACTTACTATAAAAATGAAAAAAAAAAAGGTAAAAAGCTTTTTTAGAAAGGAACATACACTGTGCATAGACCATTGAATACATTGGCACTTATAAACTTAAAAAGAAAAACACATGTATTTACGTGAACACACATACGTTGATATCGCAAATATGGAGCAAGATAACTAGATGTAACATGATACAATTTATTTACACAACTAATCTATAAAAAAATATTACATAGACTTTGAGAATAGTTTGTTTTGCATGTTACAATGAAGTCAGAGAGTTGAAATGTGAGTGAAGCTGTTTCTTGTTGCAGGTGATTGTGCTTTCGTGCGTGTTAAGTGTTGTGGGAACGTTGTAGGCCAATGCTTGGCATTGTATGTAGTGTGGAAACGCGTTACAAACCAAATATCTGTATTTCTTGTGGGAATTGTAATGATACAACGCTCTATACATGACAGTGATCTAATGAAGTTGTAGGGCTGCCTATTCGAGAAATAAAGTGTGTGCAATAAGCGAATTATGTAGGTTTAACAGCCACAGAGCGGGATGTGGCGTTGGCTGTTCTCGCACGGGTAATGCTTAGCGAGGTAGCGCCAGCGGTGTTGCTCTGTGGGGAGGCTAGGTGGCTGCACAGAAAATGTGAGCAAGTCTTTTGCGGCTTGGAGGCTGGCGTGGATCGACGGCTCCTGCGGAGGGTCCATGGGAACTGCAACCACGGGTTGTTTCCCGTGGATCCCTTGTGTCGAGTCCACTGTTGGCTACGCTGAATTCGCGGTGCCTTGTTGCGATGTTGTATTAGAATATTGTGTAAGGTTGTTTAGCGTGTCACTTGTGACATATTTGATTCTGCTAGAGATATCGTCGTCGTAAAAGGCACTGAACACGTTTTTGGTTTGCCTGACCGCATCTGCCGATGTGTCCTGACAGCGGCACTCTTTCAGATCCTACAACATATAAACGGTTAATTTTCACCTGCTCTACTATGGCCTCATGGCTGGGGAAGGAGGTGCATGCCTTTAGGTAGAGCAGTGTTACAACAGTGCGATCACAATGAGATGAATAAGGATGTATTGTCAATGTATGCAAGCACAAAATTCTTCATGGAAGTAGGGGTGGGTGGGGGCAGAGGTATATTTCAGGATCCCCTTCCCCTGCCAGGTGACAGCCTCCCCTGCACTATGCATATGCTTATGATGGTCAGGCAATCATCTAGCTACCTTTACGAGCCTTTTTCACTCCATCGTCAATGAGGAGGTTTCGGCAGCCGTTTTTTCAGAGCTGGTACCCATTTCGGTGGTTTATGATCCACAATGCATTTCTTTCTCCAGTGACTGGGCATTGAATGCTTATTGATCATTATTTCAGTGCACCTGCCTGGGCACCTCAGGTGGAAATTGTTGTGCAAATTAGCCTAGCAGCTCTCTTTATCAGTCTGATTCTTCTTGCGTTTGGAACTGCTGCTTCCTTAGTTGCTTTGGGATGTCCTGAATCAATTTTTCTTTCGCGTTTCTTTTGGCAGTTGATCACAGGCATCTCCACCATCGTTAATTGTGATTGATTTGTGTCTATTGTGACTCTGCAATAACCATTTTCCTGCTTTGTTATTCGGCACCTGGTGTGCTGGTTTAGCGACAGTGGTGTCGTGCTGCTCTGCGTGAGATCGCGGTTCTGTTCCGGTTCGCAGCAGCTGCATTCCGATGGGAGCAGAATGCAAAAGCTTCCATATATTTAGATTTAGCTGTGCAAATAAACAATTAAAGGAACCATGAACAAGTAAAAAGTAAGTCTGCAGTTACTTGCAACAGTATGCTTCATAATAACTTGCACATCTGTCTTACGCAATGATAACATTTTATTTAACACGTTCGCTGCAGCAAGTTTTCCTGAGATCGCGTGTTATGTGCGGCGTGACCCACCGGCGGCCACTCGGCACATCTTCCAGCTGCGTCGTGACCCACCGATGGGTCACGGCATCGAACACCGGAAGATACTTCCTCCGATCATTGATAACATCTTACAACAAGAATAGTAACTCTGCGTTTGATGAAGTTATCGCATCAGCAAGCAGATGCGTGGTCGTAACATCGCGGCCGCATGGGGGGAGCACAGCTCGTGACCCACACCACAGTGAGCGCATTAATAATTATACGGCAATCCACAGGCCGTAAGGATGAGCACATCTACTGTTGCTTAAAGAAAGAAAGACTGCGCGAGGTATGATGGTCATCTGTGCATACCTTCACATTGTTGCTGTTCATTTATTCACTCAAACCTCATTATAACGAAGTTGCATCTTACATGAAAATAAGTTTGTTATAACCAAAAATTCGTTGTAACGGTATATTCCTAGCATTACATCACTTGCAATACTGTTTTTCAGTTACTTCAGTTATAACCAATGTCTCGCAATATCCGAGTTGTTATATCGAGTTTATAAACGTTGCAGCCTAAATTTTGTTAATCAGATGTGGAGTCCTCTTCTGTGGGTAAAGGTTTGCTGCTAGGGTTGCCACTTCCCAGTTTTTAAACCGAACCTGGCCGAGGTGTTCTTTGAGATGGGGCGCGTGGGCTGTTCGCACCCTGAACAGTTGGCTAATTGTTTTGGCCATAGTATCGCAATTATTGTAATTTTTTAAATTGCATTGCATAAGCATCAATTCACCTGACTATGGACAATAACTATGTCGTCGGTCGCCTGAACTGTTATGCTTTTTGCCAACCGCTTTATATCTTGTGCCCATGAAGACTCGAAGCAAGATTCCTTCAAGTGCAGCAATCATTGGAATAGAGTATATTATTGTGGTGTATGTACATATATTCATTTGATGCATCATGGCTTATGCAGTGTGCACTTTTTAATCTGCAGAGTTCATGATGCAGCTGGTCTGGTGATTGAAACGCAGTGAAGAGTCTGTTATAAAGTACATTTCAGTGCTGCACATTCCGAGAAAACATAGTCACATTTAATAGAAACGTTATTCCTTTAACTGGTATTTTTATGCGAACCAGCAGACAAGTTGGTAAGCAGAATCTTGCGTTTCCGTGCACACGTGCGTTATGTTGCCGAAAGAAATCTGCAGTGGATCCACTGCCGCTACATTTCTCCATAAAGAAAGCAACAGAATCCCAATCAGGAAGGGTATAAAGCAGGGAGACAAAATCTTGCCAATGCCATTTACGACGTGTTTACAGGTTTTGAGCACCCTAGATTGGGAAGAGTTGGGGATAAGAGTTAATGGAGTGTATCTTAGTAACCTGCAATTTGTTGATGACATTGCTTTGATTTGGACGAATTATAGCTCATGATTACAGAACTGGACACTGAAAGCAGAAGAGTGGGTCTGAAAATTAATATGCACAAAACTAAAGTAATATGCAACAGTGTCAGCAGAAAACAGCACTTTGCCGGAAGTTGTAAAAGAATGTGTCTACGAGGGACAGGTAGACACATTCCTTGGAGCCAAACCATGACAGGGAAATAACTAGAAAAATAAGAATGAGGTGGATCACATTCCACAAGCATTGTCAAATTGTGAATGCGAATCTGCCATTAACCCCTAGGAGGAAGGTATATAACAGCTGCATCTTGCTAGTACTTACCTACGGAGTAGAAACCTGGAGGCTTACAGAGAGGGTTCAGCTTAAATTAAGGACAACGCAGAAAGCGATGGAAAGGAAAATGATAGGTGTAACCTTAAGAGACAAGAAGAGAGCAGAGTGGGCGAGGGAACTAACCGGGGTTTAGGATATTGTAGTTGAAATCAAGAAGAAATCTACATGGACCATGCACGTTGGCAGGATAACTGCTGGTCCCAGAGCAGGCAAACACACGAAGGGCATACAGAAAGTTGGTGGGCCGATGTGATTAAAAAGTTCGCAGGTATAACGTGGCAACAGAAAGCACAAGACAGGGTTGATTGGCGGACCATGGGAGAGGTCTTTGCTCTGCAGTGGCAGACTGATGATGACGATGCATTATATTGAAAATGCTAAATAAAAGCATTGTTACAATAAATGCCATTGCATGTCTGACTTAACATTAAACATTGTTTATATACTGGCCTTGAAGGGCCAACTTTCGGTGATAGGTTGCAACCTTTGCATGATTTAAGCATGTCTTTTGATCCGAACGTTGCATTAGAATTAAAACTTCAATATTGTTTTCGTTTCAGACTTCGTGAGAATGGTGATGAATGGCTGAACACTCTCTGACACAACATCTGCAGAGCTTGCTTCGATGGAGTCGGCTGTTTATGAAATGTGGGGCCAACTGTACATTCCAGAAAGAATGTGCTCAGTGCTGCCAAGAGAGGAGACCATAACTCGGTGCAGGTGTATTGACTGCATTGTCAAATATGTATTTATGCTTCATGGATGACCTGGGAAATAAAAGAAAATTCTGCAAAGGAAAGAAAGAAGCTGTTTCCTTTTCGCGAATGAAATCAGTGGCAGTCAGCTGTTAGATTCGAGCTGGCGCTTGGTAGTGCTGACGTAAAACTGACTGAGTCTTTTAAGCATGACGAAGCGCTGTACATCATTAGCAATTGCGTAGTCGACGCTTAGGGGAAGAAAAATAGCCGAAGGTCAGGAATGCCATTACATCATCGTGGTGCGTAATGCACGATCCGTAGCTACCCCGGCCATCGAATAACGAGCGAGCTTGAGGGGGTTAAAAAGACCATGTCGACGAATGACGCTGGCAGGCTACCTTAACAGGAGCAGGCGGCAAAATGCGAAACAGTTTGTGGGCATCTACGCGTTACATGTCGTAGGCAATGCGAACGGGCCACCATAGCCAGGCCCAGTATGACAAGGGCGCGCCCATCGCGGCTTCAAAATTCTTCCGTCTGAAAAAAATGAATGCGCGCAAGAAAGTAGTTCCACCCTCCACATACGTGTTTCCGTCTTCGGCTTGTAGTGTCGATATTTGTCTCGAAGGTGTGGAATAAAAAGGCGATAGTCGTTGCGCTCGTTGTTACAACTCACGCACGCAGATGTATTTGGCATGCTCAACCGCACGATGTCTACACAGGCCCGTTTGACTGAACGAAGGCGCGGCCGCGTTGCAGCCCCCACGCAAATGCTGGATGCAATGCCTGTTTTGCGCCAGTACGTTGGCACGGCTGGTGCGGCACGGAGTCGGGCGTGTCTCGAAGCCCTCGCTGCAGTACTGTGGCTGGCATGGCTTGCGCGGACTTGACGCTGAATGCGACATTGTCGGAGCCAAGTGCGGTCGAAACGTGTCGGGGTGCCACGAAACGAAGACGAAAATTAGTGCGCGGCAGCCGTGGAAAGCCTAACGAACAAACATCAGCGATGGCGCCGTTGCGGACCCGTTTAATCGAGAGGTCTCTGCGTAAAGCAAGCGCTGATATCGACTAGAGAACATGCGAAAGGCTCTGGTAAGCGTTTTTTCAAGTTTTTCGCACAAAATACATAGCGAGAAATCTCATTTCTCGATAGCTTCGCAGCTCTTGCAAATGGCGAACCAGCGTAACACGTGATCAGCAAATAATTGCCCAATGTTGTATCCTAGCAACGCCGGCTTTTATTGCGACGACTGCGTGCAGTTGTGGTGTTTGCTTTAAGTCATTCATGACACATTAAAAAATAAGGAAAAAAAAAAACCTGAAACAAACGTGCGCAGCTGGGTTTGTCACAAAATCGGCTTTGTCGAAAGACATGTAGCTATTTACCTACCGCTCACGAACACCGGCACATCGCGGAGGTGCGCGGGTGATCAGCTGATTTCTTGCACCGTTTGTAAGGCGTCGCGTACCGATTTCAATCGCCAGTTACTGGCAGTTGCACGCGCAGTGACTATTGTGTTAGTCCGAAAAATAATCGAGGTGTGGTGTGGTGGCTCACAAAGCTGAAAATACTATTTTTTTCGTCTCCGCCAATCGGATGCCGGAGAGCCACGTGACGTAGTCCTTCTCCGATCGTTCGCCGCCTGCGATTGGACATTTGAACGTGACCTCATGAATAGTAATTAGTTTGCTACGGCGTACATGTACTTTGAAGGAGGACCCCATATTGAGGTTGCCGCGCTGCTTGGCGCTTGCTTTTCAGCGCTGCCTGTGTTCGAGTAAGTCGGCTGCGTGCCATCCGCCTCGGCTGCTGTCGTGCAAATGGAGAAGAGGATTGAATTGGAGAAGCGGGGCAAAAACCCCGAGCAGGTGAATGTTTTCCCTCGTTTTTACCGTCACGACTTCGCAACAGGCGCCGATTATCTCATTTTTCTGCAACCTCACACTTTTTAATGCGGCTGCGAGCGCTAGAAGTGCATCCTGTGGGAAAGATGCGATGCCGGCGGTTCCAGTAGTCACCGCTTGTTTTCCGCAAATTCGTACCGATTTGTGCTTGTCGCGTTGCTTCGCGGCGTGGGTGGCGAGTTTCCGTTACACAGAAAGTGCGTCAAATAGGAAAATCATCGCATGGCGTAGAGGGCAGCTTGCCGCCCAAAATGTTTGAAAATTGACTACTTATCGCCTTGCATCCACGTATGTAATTGTGTGCCCCGTGTTAAATTAAGCCCTTCGCACTTTCGTCCGGCACTCTCGCAATCCGACTGCACGAGAAAGATGATCCAAGCGTCACATGCATAACGTGGACGGTTTTCTCCTGAATGTCAACATGGCGCTATTAGCCAGAGGAGCGCGCAGTGTCATCTCTGGTAAGGTCTTCATTCGCTGGCTTGCAGCCAGTGTCCGAGCGGGGTGTTGCGTGACTTCGGTATTGAACCGCAGTTATCGGTGTCGCCGGTTGTGTTTGTGTGGACCGTACTAGACCACGTTGTGCGGCACCGGTACGCCGCCATTATCGGCCGGAGGTGCGTGCCCCGCGGTGTTCGCCGATTGGCAGCTCGAAATGATCGCATTTTGCCCCGCGTTATGCAGGCGTACCTCGTTTTTCGGTGTCCTGTTGGTCGTTGCGAGCCATAGCACGCCCCGACCGCGGCTTATGTCAGCCCTGGGCCATGTCTGGCCTTGGTTGCTTGGAAATCGACCGCCATGTTGACTCTCGGCTGGATTGGCAGCGCAAGTTAGAAGAAAAAGTTGGCAATTATTTCGTTCGGCATCCGTACCTCGGTATCTCGTCGGAACGGCCAAAATATTAGGTTCAGCCCCAAATCACCCTTTCCTAAAGCCGCGTCGCCCGCGGTTGTGGTCTCGTTTTTATTTTTCGAGTTTGGCAACGCGCCGATTCGCGCTTCTTTTTTTTTTTGTTTATGTGTACGCGCACTTCTTTTCAATATGGATCCTCTTTGTGTCCGGTGCCGGAGAAATGGCGCGCTTACGTTGAAACTACGTAATTTTTGCGAGCGGCCATGTCGCTGGGACTGGGCGTGCTCGCGCGGGGCTCGGCGATTGCTGTGCGCGGCGTGTTTCGCGTCGTGCTAGCCGTGTGGCGTCGCGATCGGCATCTGCCTCTCCGCCGCGGCGGCTCATGTAATCTTCGTTCCCTCCTCCGCAGATACACGAGCTCAACCTCGACAACTGCAGAAGTACCGCCATCGTCGGCCTCACAGAGGAGTTCGTCAACCTCGAGACGCTCAGCCTCATCAATGTCGGCCTCACGAGTCTCAAGGGCTTCCCCAAGCTACCCAACCTTAAAAAGGTGAGCTGGCGTGTGGAGATGTGCGTTTGCGTGTGCCATGGCGGGAGGCTGATGTCTTATCTCTCGTGTGCAGTTGGAGCTGAGCGACAACAGGATCTCGGGCGGCCTCAACCTTCTGCACGGGAGCCCCAAGCTGACGCATTTAAATTTGAGCGGGAACAAGATCAAAGGGCTGGAGACCTTGGACCCCTTGGTGAGCGAGTGTTCTGCTTTCCGCCGACCGCGCGTCTTCGCGGGGCGGACTAATGCGTGCCTGCCTTCCTCTGCAGAAAGAGTTCAAAAACCTAAAGAACCTCGATCTTTTCAACTGCGAAGTTACCAGCATCGAGAACTACAGGGACCGGGTGTTCGAGCTCATCCCAAGCCTTAAGTACCTGGACGGCTACGACAGAGACGAGAAGGAGGCCGAGGATTCCGAGGTGGACGATGAGGATGGTGAGGCTGTGTTCACTTGATTTGTGCTAGGTCAACTCTTGTGTAATGTTGTGGACCGAGTTGAAGCCCTTTATTATTATTTGCCCTCGTAGGTAACGAAGAGGACGACGAAGAGAATGAAGTGGATGGAGAGGGCGAGAGTGATGGTGAGGCAGGTTTTTGCTAGCGTGCTTGTGCAAGTGTGTTTTGTGTTAAGGCTCACTTTTCCGTATTCCCCCTCCCCCCACAGAGGATGACGACGATGAAGTGAACGTGGATGACGAAGATGATGAGGAAGGCGAGGAAGATGACGATGTTGATGAGGAAGATGGAGAAGATGGGGAGGAAGAGGTCGGTCTCGATTACCTAGAAAAAGACGACATTGATGTTAGTACCATTTATATATGGAGAGAGAGAGTTAACGTGGAGCCGATCTATGTGTGCTGGCTAGTAAGCACCTTTTGTGCAGCGTACTTCTTCGAAAAGCAGGCGTTGTATTGTGCAAAACATTGAATGCCTTGTACTCTGCAAAGCTGGTGCTTACATTTAGCAGCCATTTATGGTAAACTGTGAAATGTTGTCTGTGTGTGGTGCCGAGTATTGGCTAGAATGGTCTTACACATTTTTGCACGTCTCTTTTATTTCGTTTTTCTTTTTCAGGAGGAAAGTGAAGGAGACTTCTACAACCCATATGATGTGGATGACGACGAAGACGGCGACGGTGAGTCGGCAGGATGATTGCGCGTATTGTTTTGACGAGTGGTGTTTGAGTGGTAGTGCTCATGGCACTGATTGTTGTTTTGCAGAGAACGAGTCTCCGAAGGGCCAGAAGCGGAAGAGGGAAGAGGAAGAAGACGGGGAGGACTGAGGGAGGGCGGGAGAAGCACTCAACACCAATTGGAACATCCCGGCATCTTTACTTTAGTTTTTTTTTTTAAACGTCTTCGTCATTGTCACCTGTAGACTTTGTACAGCGGCGGACAGAGAAACAAACTGCAGCATCACAATCGCATCATCCTCGGTACCTGTCCCTAGCTTTATTTTCCCCCATTCATTTCAGTCTTGAACAAGTTTTTTTTTTTGAAGCTTTTGCTTGCTTTGGGTGCCTCTGGTGGTTACCCATTAGTTTGCATTATTATATAAGCTTTGTATAGGTTGTTACTGGTGAACCAGGTTTTGTCTTGCAACGATTGTAAAAAAAAAAAAATGGTCACCCTTGCAGCCATGCACATTCCAAGAGCTGTGTGCTGTGGGGGGGCGCTGCTGTCTATGTACATCTGCTTGCCTACGACAGGCGTCAAATGAACTTTTGATCACGCAAGGCAACACCAAAGTTGGCCCAGAAAAGGGGGTGGCCTCTAGGGACGGTGCCGTCAGGCGCATCCTCATCATCATCACTCTACACAATTTTTTTTCTTGATCCGTATTTTTGGCCCTCCCTTTTCTCAATTTGCTTTCAAACATTGAATGAAATGCCTTTTATTGTCGCATGCTGGCTGCAGGGGAAGTGCCTGTACAGGTGCATTATCTTTTGCATGTAAGTTTTGCAGTTGTGCGGGGATTTTTCTTGCTGCCGTCAGTCTTCCTCAGCGCAGAGACGCAGTGGAAGTGTAAATTATCAGCAAGGGCTTTGTCCAGTGTTTGGTTCAATTGTTAAATAAAGTTTTTACTGAAATGGCAACCTCTGCTGTTTGACTGTAATGTCGCCAATATAGAAGCATACCTTCTGTCCAAAGAGCAATGGCAGACGTATGTGGGCAGTTATTTCAGGAAACTTTTGTTGCATTGTTGGCTGGATGCTCATCTACGTGACTGCCACTGAATAAGTGTAAAATCTTCAGACTAGTACCATATTGAAGCCATTGTCAACTACCCATTTAACTGGCATTGGCCTGTATGATCCAAATAGTGACGGTATTTCTATTCCCTGAAGTCAAGTGAGGTCACCATTGCTCCTGTTTCTGCATGCAGTTTTGAATTATTCACTAAGTATTGCATGGAGAATCTAATAATAGAAGTGAAGACTTAATATGCCACTAGGGTTTGAAAGCTTTAAGTGATCTCCTAGGATGCAGACAGTGCGTTGCGTAACAGCATCATTCTCAGTTTTTTGCTCACTAAAGCAATTTCCAACTGCTCAAATGAAGCATTGCCTATTTGATGCTTCAGTGTTTGCTGCATTCAAGCTATCATTGTTGCTGTTTTTGCAATATTCAATGTTACAATTCAAATCGGGTTGTATTGCTGCATTTGCATGTCACCGGAGAGTTTACGAATGAATGACACGGTTGCATAAGGCTGAGAAGCTGTCCAGTGTCCACTGCTTTACCTGTGGCTTCGTTGGCCACATTTGATGGAAGGACTTGTGTGCAATTCCTAACTGAGCTGGACGGTGTGGTTATTTTCAGCACTAGTGGCATAGTTATATAATGCTCCAGCTGGCTGGCCACCTGCTGGTGAAAAGAGCATCTTGCAATAGACTTGTTCCTAATGAAGTTTCTTTTGTCACTTTTCCAACTTGGTGATCAACACAACTGGTGGAAAAGTGTTGTACAATGTCGGATCAACCAAATTTCGGGCATGATGGCACGTGATCACATCGTCGCACGAGGTGGCCTGGTCAAATGTTTTTCGCAGGGGCAGGGCAACACCAGGTGAGGCATAGGAACTTGTAATGCCGCTAAACCTGAAGGCAGTGTGAAAGCTCATCAAGTGCTGGAATCATTCAAAGGGGTGGGTGGGAAGACGTGAGAATGAAAAGATGATAAAAGCTTTCACTTTCAAGTCGTCTAGGTGTTTTGTTTTTTGCTTATGCACACTTTCAATCTTTGCAGCTGTTGTCACAGTGGACTAATTCTAATATTATATCATGACTTTTGTTTTTTACTGTTCGGTACATACTGCAGACCACATCGTGGTCCTTGCAGGACGGGCATACCTAATTCTACACTTGGCGAAACATATATAGTTACAGAGAAAGTATACACATAAATTCATGTAAATACATGTTCAAAGGAATGCAACAAACCTGTATATAACACAATGTTCATGAGGATAAATTCACTTCCAGAAGACCATGTTATGAAACATATCTTCACTGCCAGAAGAGAACTTCGTCATTCAAATTGCGAGTCTTTTGCACAGTTACTTTCTGAAGCAGGATTGCCTCGTTGACAATAAGGCTACTTTAGAAATTCTGGTACATTTGCATATGGTGTCTAAACGGCTGTGGCACTGTAACGCAAATATTACTGATGTGGAGGCGTGCTAGCCTCGGTTAGAACCCTGGTTGCCATTTATATTTTAATTGCAAAATTGAGTCACGGGACTTGTTTAACGGCTCCAGCTAATAACTTTTTCTGTGAAATAAGTCGCTTGGCACTCAGTTTCACATTTATAAATATAAACAGGTTAGCATGTCTGTGTAACAAGGGTATATCAGGAATTTACTTCTAGCATGTGCGTGCTTGTAATTTCAGTGTCATTTACACTTGAAATTGTACGGGGTATTTGGGTCTGCAATTGTAAACTTTCGTAAATTTTATTTAGGCATGTTCGTGCTGTTAAGCTCTTACGTGCTGGTTCAATTGCTGGCCATGGCGGCTGCATCTTGCTGCGGATAATATTAAAAAAACACTTTGTGTACTTGAATATGGGTGCATGTGGTCAAAATTGATCCATTTCCCCACTACAGTGTGTCTTATAACCAGATGGTTTTGTGCAATAAACTCCAGCTTGGATGGTTATGAGATAACGTCGAAGTTTCGAAGACCATGCGATCTGAAAATGTGGCTGATACGGCAAAGAGTACTGCAGAAAGGTAAACATTGTGAAGGAATTTCTATTGAAGAACAAATAGTTAATTACATTTTGGTAAAAAGGGAATGCATACAGATTTCTTTGCAGGCTTTACATTTCCTGTAAAATGCAACCTGTTTTGAGATTTGCACAGGGGACCAATGTGTGGATAGCTTCTACTGCTGTGGAAAAGCATTGGTCTCTAATGCAAACCTTGTCCTCTTCAGTCCATGGGTACCCAAATAGGTAAATTTCAAGGATGCTCACAGTTCTCCTATATTTGAAGCCCATTTCATGCAAATTGACGTTTCTGTAAACGGAAGCATCAGTTAACGAAATACCTTACGACATGTGTACCCATGTGTGCACTCAGCAGTAGAAAGAATAGTGGTGTTGTGCGACAAAATCACGCACAGTTATACAGCCAAGATAAAACTTTTCTTATTAATAAAATGTTATGTAAATATTGCTAAGCAGCCAGTATAGATGATCTCAATAGACTAAGAGAAGGCACATGAAAATTTTGGGCATGTTGCTTTTGAGTGGCGTCTGTCAGAGTGCAGCTTATTTTCAAAGTGCGCCCTATTCAGTGCTTTAGGTCATTGCGCTGAAAACACATGATTGATTGATTGATTTGTGGTGTTTAACCTCCTAAAGCCACCGTATGATTATGAGAGACGCCGTAGTGGAGGGCTCCGGAAATTTCGACCACCTGGGGTTCTTTAATGTGCACCCAAATCTGAGCACACGGGCCTACAACATTTCCGCCTCCATCGGAAATGCAGCCGCCGCAGCCGGGATTCAATCCCGCGACCTGCGGGTCAGCAGCAGAGTACCTTAGCCACTAGACTACCGCGGCGGGGGCGCTGAAAACACATTTATTGTTTTTTGTTTCAGGCAGGTTTCCCAGTGACTAGGAAATTCATGAGCTACTCTTTCAGAGCGAAATTGACTTGTCGAAGGTGACATGGTGGACGAGCAGCACAGCAACAGGGATGATGATGAAATGGTACACCAGTGAGCTTCCAAGTTGAACGTTGCAGCTCGAATTGAAAGAGGCAGAGTATACCTGATAGACAAGTTTCAAAAAGAGATTCCATCGCAGCACCATTTGCACGTATGTTCAGGAAGCAGCCAACAGCCGCCATTGTGCACGAGTAGTCCCGTGCATATACCACCTCGGATCACACAGAATGTTCCCATTGAAATGAAACGTCTTGTGTTCATACTTGTCTGCTCTCGCATGAGCGCCGCATTGTCGAGTGTTGCTTATTTGTTTTCAGTGCACAGTAGTGGCTTAGCCCAGTGTTGCTGGCTTATGAAACTTTTGTTGGAAAGGGTACATGCGGGTATATGTCAAAGGAGGAGGGAAAAAAAAAATGTAGCGCAGCAGCATTGAATTTAAGCATACAGCAAGCAATATGGGTGGTGGGGATCTTGCGTAAATATACAGGCTCTAATTTGGGACAAATATCCACACAATGTGAACCATCAGGAATTGGTCCCCTTTCTAGACCTAGTGGCGATGAATTCAAGGATCGAATACAAGAATTACCGCAAGCTCACGGATGCTGTAGTGAAAAGCATTCTTGACCAATTCAAGTTCGAATAATGACTAAAACGCCAGTTCGCACACATCAAGTAAGTACAAGAAGTGCACAATGCAGTGGAGCTGGATGTTCAAATAGGCGAGTCTCTGGCAGCCCCAAAACTAAGCAACTGTGTTTTTAATAGTGTTAATGAGGTCCGATTTGATTGCAATGAAGATAACAGTGCAAAAACCTGCGTTAAATGCGAGCTGTTTGCCTTCTAACCAAAAATGGCTGTCTTAATTTTTACTTTGATTAGGTTTGGATGTTTGTATTCTGAATTCGAAGCTTTAGGGACGAAGCTCTATAGGGCCTAGCTCTGTTGGAGTCCATCACGCTACACAAAACCGAAAACCTAACACCTGTACAACGAAAAACGAAAGCAATATGTAAAAAACCGGCTTTATGAGCAAATCAATCAAATATATGGCAGGATCAAACAAAATCACCTGCGCTATCTGTTCCATTCATTGTTTGTCTTTTATAGTATTCGGTTACTTCACCGTAGACATTGTGGAGCTTAGGACCCAGCTTTGCCCACTTGTAATCATTCACTTTGTTGAGATTAGCATTTTTTTCTTCTTTTTTTTTATTCTGAGAAGTGTTTTGTGATTCAAAAACGCCCAAAATAACATCTTGCTACTTTTTCCTTAAGTCTGAAGAGGGCAAGATTAAATTTATTAGCTGGAATTATTGTTTGTACTAATGCTGGATGACGCCCTTCATTGTATCCCCTAACGCTCTAAATGCCTATCACAGATCCCACATTAACCAAACAAATAATAGCAATAAAATCATCTCACTAGTCCATAACCTTTTGGCCAGCTTGCTTGCTGTGGCTCAAGGAGATGCTTTTACTTGAGCATCTCGTGCATCAACTGTCCAGCCTTGGTGAGAATGTTTACTGGCACCACTAGGTTAGTAGTTTGTTGCCAAGACTTCGTTGCAGAAAAATACAAGAGACCAATGGCAGCAAATATAGGCTCAATAAAAGATCTATTTCTAGAACTTCACATGTTCAACAGGTACAACTAAAGTAGTCTGCCCGACAGTTACATTCACTGCTGTTTGTGGCAGTCTACGGTTCACTTGTGTAAAGGACTGCCTCTATTTTTCGTGACGTTGGCTAATGTATATGTTGCTGTATATTTTTTAGATATTTTTCTTAGTTGGGTAAGTTTTGTTATTGTGTGTTACACTTGCAACGCAATGCTGGAAAAACTGTCAAGCAACTGATATAGCCCCTTTGATTCGCTAATATCTTTTCAATGAGTTGCTGTGCAGTTACTAGTGA